CTTCTGATGAAAGTTCCTTCAAGTCCAGTGCGTTCATTTATAGTAACAAACAGTTTTTATTGATAATTATTGTATCGAGCCCTTTGAATTTTTATACACGTAAAAGTAAAGCAAAATATAACTTCTTTAGTATTTTTATAATTTTTCCGTTTAAATTACAATATTGAATATCAATTTCATACTGAATTTAAAAACTATAATTAGTATTTATTCACGTATTATATTTTAAAATCAAACAACTACTAATCAGGATATAATTAAAGAAATAAGAGTTGATGATTTTGCTTTTGAATAGTCCACCAATTTCCTACTTAAAAAAACAAAACAAATTTGGTTGGGAATTTTTTCTGTTATTCGCCAAAATTACTCCTTCGTTGACTAGAATGAATCATTAAACAGAAAATTTTATGAGAATTAAAACAATGTAATTGTTAAGATTAATATGCAGTCAGGAAATTTTATAATCACTATTTACAGAAATGTTTATCAGAAAAACTCATTATGTTTTTGCATTTTTATCGTAATAGAACACACTTAAATAGAAATCATAGTAATCATTTCTAAGTAATTTTTGATATTTTGAAAAGATTCTACAATTGAAATATCCAGAACTGAATTAATTTTAATGATTTACTTTTACTAAAAAAAAAAAAGTTATCATTTTGAATCCCTCTCGTGGGCAGGTAAACGGTTAGATTTATAAAAAAAATATACCAAATGATAGATAAAGACATGCATCTAAATAAAAAAAAAATATATATACTGATTTGGTCATTTTTGATAAAGTTATAACAGTCAACAAAGTTATAAGTTTTATACACTGGACTACAAGGAACTTTGATCAGAAACAAAAATATACTATTCTAAATCAACTTTTCGCGATATTTTCAAATTTGCAATTAGACTTTTTCACTATCACTTTTAAGTTTTAATATTATTAAAAAATAGTATTTACATATAAAAAAAAATAATCAAGAAGAAAAAAAATTGTTTTAAATTAATACTGATTTGATATAATATTTGATTATTAATTTGATTATTAATAAGGAAAATGACATATTTCACCCATTTTTTTAATCGTTTAAAGTTGATTGTTGTAAATGTTTATAATAAAAAAAAAATTTTATTTTACCATAACTTTTAGCTCAATCGGTAAGTGTGACACATTGACATCATTAAATAGAAAATTTTATGACAGTTAAAAAAATTGTATCGTTAAGATCAATATGCAGTCAGAAAGTTTTACAATTACTATTTATTGTAAATTTATCAGAAAAGCTCAATATTTTTTTGCATTTTGATGGTAATAGATAATTTAAATAGGAGTAATAGTAATAATTTCCTAGTAACTTTTGTTGTTTGAAGAAAAGATTCTCTACAATTGAAATATTGAGAAATTAATTAATTTTAATCATTTACTTTAACTAAATGTACCAATCAAACACAAAGTTGTTAAGAAGATTTACTCAATTGAGCGTATTATAAAATTTGATTACATTTGAAAAAATCAATTGTTGATTCAGGAGAAAAAACAATCATTTTTTTTTAGAAATGATTTATATAGCAACGTGTTAGAAAAAAATTTGTAATATTATAGTCTAGTGGTAGCGCACACAATTAGAGTAAAAAAATTATTAAATTACATGGTAAAATGATTAAATTTTGTAGTTGAAACCCATCATATCAAACTTAATTCGTCAATAAATACTTTGAAAACATTAGAAATGAATGATTTTAATTGTCTATATGGAGAACATGGAATAACTAACTGTTTAATTGATAAATTGAAATTTTTTTTCAATTTTTGAGGGCAATATATCTTCAACTAGATACGAATCGTAGTAATTTGACGTATCGTTGAAAAAAGTAGGTCGAGTTAGAGCGGAGAAAATAAATGATAGTCACAAAAATATATCTTCTCAGCTTTGCATCGAAGCTATAACTTAAAATATAGTAAAATTATTTTAATACGAATAAGAAATTTCTTCTTGCAAGGGGCGACTAAAGTGATGGGATCCTTGATCTTTATTGAAGTTATTGAATCTAAATGAGATAAAAATCAAACGAGTTAAAAATTTATACTAACTTAAAAAGAATTAAGAAAAAATGCAAAAAATTCAATGCTACGCGGGTTGGAACCTCGTCCCCCAAGCGTGTAAAACATGAGTTTTACCAACTCGGCAACCGTACATCGATGCCGCCGGGTGAAAAAATTGGCTATTTAAGCTAGTTCAAATTTCAAAGTTATTTTTCTCGACTTAAAAGAAGCAAACAAATTTAAATAAGTTTCTATGCTATATTAATTTTTTATTTATATAATATTTATGAAAATCTGTACTCCCCTTGTCAGGTATTTTAAAATAAAATAAAATACAAAACCCAGAATTTTAACACAAAAATAGCAAATTTTTGAATACGGTAGTCATTTTTACCGTGAAGACAAATCCAGAGGTCAAATTTTTTTTTTTAAATTAAAGTATATTATATAAGCTTTAATTTAAGATATATATAAAAGTGTCAGTATTTCCGGAATACTTTCAAAAATTAAATTGAAAATATCTTAGTAACAATACGCATGTTTAAAGTTTTGACCCCCCTTGTTAAAGGGGTATGATCCGATTTACAAAAAAAGCGTGCCAGATGAAAGGGGTATATAAATATTTATTATAAAAAAATAATAATATTGATCCATACATTTTTCCAAAAGTTATATAAAATATAAATTAAATAATATAACATATAAAATCGAGATTTTTTTCACGGAAATCGTACGTTTTTCTTTAACTTTGATGTCCGTTTTCACCACGAAGACAAGTCCAGAGGTCAAATTTTTTTTTTTCAAATTAAAGTATATTACATAAGCTTTAATTTAAGATATATATAAAAGTGTCAGTATTTCTGGAAAACTTTCAAAAATTAAATTGAAAATATCCTAGTTTCAATACACATGTTTAAAGTTTTGATCCCCCTTGTATAAAGGGGTATCATCCGATTTACAAAAAAAGCGTGCAAGATGAAAGGGGTATATAAATATTTATTATAAAAAAATAATAATATTGATCCGTACATTTTTCCAAAAGTTATATAAAATATAAATTAAATAATATAAAATATAAAATAGAGAATTTTTTCACGGAAATCGTATGTTTTTCTTTAACTTTGATGTCCGTTTTCACCACGAAGACAAGTCCAGAGGTCAACATTTTTTTTTCAAATTAAAGTATATTACATAAGCTTTAATTTAATATATATATAAAAGTGTCAGTCTTTCCGGAACATTTTCAAAAGTTAAGTTGAAAAAGTTCTACTTTCTATACGCATTTTAAAAGGTTTGCACCCCCCCTGTATAAAGAGAAATGGTCCGATTTAAAAAAAAGTATGTCCAATGAAAGTGGTATATATACAAAGTATTTATTATTAAAAAATAGAATTGATTCGTGCATTTTTCAAAAAGTTATAGCATCCCAATGTTAAAAAATGTAAAATATAATATCAAGAATTTTTTCAAAAAAATAGCATATTTTTGCATACGGTAGTCATTTTCACCATGAAGACAAGTCCAGAGGTCAAATTTTTTTTTTTCAAATTAAAGTATATTACATTAGCTTTAATTTAAGATATATATAAAAGTGTCAGACCTTCCGGAACATTTTCAAAAGTTAAGTTGAAAAAGTTAATTTTTTGTAAAAAAGTTGACATTTTGAATCCCCTTCTGTGGGCAGATAAAGGGTTGAATTTATAAAAAAATATATATAAAACGATAGGTAAATATCTAAGGTATCTATAAAAAAAAAATTATATCGATTCGGTTATTTTTAAAAAAGTTATAGCAATTTTAAGTAAAAAAAATTGAAAAAATATCGAAAATTAGCGATTTTTGACTTTGTAATTTTTTTGAAGGTTTTTACCCCATTTACGGGGAACGGGGGAATTTTTTTCAATGTTTAAGGGTAATGTCTTCGATTAGATACAATTTGTGATCTTTTGACGTATCGTTAAAAGAAATCCGTTCAGTGAGAGCTGAGAAAAAGTGATAAGACACAAAAAAAAAAAAAAAAACTACTAAAATAGTTAAAACTNGAAAAAGTTAATTTTTTGTGAAAAAGTTGTCTTTTTAAATCCCCCCCTGTGGGCAGATAAAGGGTCAAATTTACAAAAAATATACCAAATGAAAGGTAATGATATCATGCATCTATATAAAAAAAAATTATATTGATATGTTCATTTTTGAAAAAGTTACGGCAGTATTTAGTAAAAAAAATTGATAAAATTTCGAAAATTAGCGATTTTTGAATTTGTAATTTTTTTGGAGGTTTCCCCCATTTACGGGAAACGGGGGAAATTTTTTCAATTTTTAAGGGTAATGTCTTCGACTAGATACGATTTGTGATCTTTTGACGTATCATTGATAGAAATGGGTTCGGTGAGAGCTGAGAAAAAGTGGTAACAGACACAAAAAAAAAAAAAAATAAACATCATAGTAAATCAATACCATCTCAGGTTCGCATCGAAGCTAAAAAAAAAAACACATCACAGTAAAATTAATACCTTCTCAGCTTCGCATCGAAGCTAAAAACTAAAAAAACACGCTTTTAAAGCACATCGAACTAAAAAGTTCAAAATAATTTTTAAAATAAGCTTCAAACAATAATGAACGAAAAATACTAGTATTATTGTGATAAAAGCGTTGGTACTTTGTGCCATATTTTTTTGTATATTGAGCGCCCGTCGCTTTTATCACAATAATACTAGTATTTTTCGTTCATTATTGTTTGAAGCTTATTTTAAAAATTATTTTGAACTTTTTAGTTCGATGTGCTTTAAAAGCGTGTTTTTTTAGTTTTTAGCTTCGATGCGAAGCTGAGAAGGTATTAATTTTACTGTGATGTGTTTTTTTTTTTAGCTTCGATGCGAACCTGAGATGGTATTGATTTACTATGATGTTTATTTTTTTTTTTATAGATGACATATTTCGAATCGCCTCTATATACTAAGGCTATATTATTATGAAACTCCATAAAACAACAATATCAAAAATGTACATTATATTTTATTCTAAGTTAATTTAAAATAAAATTAAGCAAATAAAAAAATTATAAACGTCGATCTTTCATACAAATTCTCTCGTACACCAATGCTAGTTCAGATTTAGTATCGCCGTTTATTTTTTCTTGTCCATACCTTGTATAGTTAGTAGTTTTCTATAAAAATAAACACAACATATAAAATTTTATTGGGTAATTTGAATTACATTTTTAGATATTATTAAATCAGTATTGAAATAAATTATTTTATTTAACGATTTTTTAACTATATTAAAAATTTAGATTCTTCTATAGAATAACACGGGAAATAATGGTACACATAATGTTTAATTCAGTGAAATCAACTCAATTTTAACTCTTTCCGAATAAAACACAAAAATTGTACTAAAATTCAAAATATGCGCTACTCCTAAAAAACGCTTGTTATTTGTTAAAATACTGTTTTACATATTTAAAACATGAAATGTAAAAAAAGTTTTGTTTATTTTGAGACGAACTAAGGTAATGACAGTATAACAGGCTTGATAAGAGAATGTATTTTTAAATATTAATCAGATAAGATTTTTTCTTGTTTATAATACAATAATACATCAATATGATTAATTCTGTATCATAGCATTATTCAAATCTTTTTAGGGGGTCTTAAAATGTGATAGAACAGTTATGAGTGACGTGTATTGGTGTTTTTACTGAATTTTTTTCGCCTATACAGCCTATTATAGGTCAATTTCTACACATTTACTTTACTAGGTAGGTTTAATTGCAACTAATTTTTAATTTAGTCTGTGTTTTTTCGAACAAAATATGACCCAACTATTTCCAAATAATGAATTGTAAATATTCTAAAATTAAGTTTACAAATTTTATTCTATTAAAAATGGATTAATATCATAAAATTATTTATTTTTAAAATAAATTACGGGATATATAAAAAAAATTTTAATTTAAAAAAATACACATTGAGAAAATCGGGATGTTCCATTAAAATAGTCAGCCAATTTTTGTTGCAACTGTATAGGAAATTATTGAAAATTCGTTTATTATGTCTCATTTAAAAAAAGTTTACTATAGATGTTTTAATTAGTAGATGTCTATACAAACCCGGTATTGGGTAAAAGCTCGAGACCTAAAAAGGGGATCAGTTACCCAGGATACACTCGAATATCGGGTACCTGGAATATAGAGAAACCTTATTAAGTAACGCCAGATCCCTCGAAAAATGTTTCCACCCTTTGCCTATGCATTGCCTCGTAGCATCAAAAAAATGTAAAATATTTAAAATATAACTCACCCGAAGTTTTCCAATATGTTCTTCCAATTGTGTAGCTATATTACGAGTCGTATAAGGTCTTTCGATTCCTGATTTTTTGTGTGGCTTATTGATAGCAGGGTACATATTTTTATCACAAAATAGCTTCCTAAAACCAAATATATTGATTATTTTTCCAAATTAATGAACAGGAACTAAGCGGTTGTCAAAAAGATAAGCAAATCTATACATCTTAAATTACTGCTGGTTAGATGGTTAGTATTGATTCATATCTGACAATGATTATAACCTTCAAGAATATCTTCTAAAATATTATAAAAATTTAAAAGAAAAAAAAATAATATAATAATTTAGTGTCTACAAAATATTGGTTATTGATTTTATTTTCAAAAAAACTATAAGGTCGTCGTTTTGGTAAATGTCTAAAGTATTTTCAATAAATATTTCACAATGATCCATTTTTATTAAAAAAAAATTATTTCATTGTAAAGTGACAAACTAAAAATATCAACATGGACTGCTTTATGACATATTAAATTTTTTGGGATATTTTCCTTCATTACAGAGATCGAGGAGAATTTTTTAAAATTATGACGCTAATAGATTCAACTAAATACGTTTCGTTGAGCAAAATCAGTCCAGTAAAAATAGATCAATTTGCACGAGTGACACACAAAAATAAACAAGACATATTAAAACCAATACCGTTTAAGTTGCGTATCGAAACTAAATGAAAGAAAAGGTATTTGAACGGTGACTTTTTTTCTCTTGTTACATCACTTATAATTTATTAAAAAGAAAAATTGTCTGATCCAAACTATTAATATTTATTTGTTGTGATGAGATACTCGTGTTATGCAATTTTTAAAAATTAGTCGATATTTGTATCTTTAATTTTATAACTTAAAAAATATTCAAAAACCAACACTTGAAAAATGTTAACCTAGGCAATACTAAGAAGTATTTAAATTCTCTCGAGATCTTATTATTCTATTAACTAAAACCTACGGCTTTTTCGACAATAACTCTCCATGGATTTCTTTAAATTGTGATTCACAAGGAAATGAAAGTTTCCTCGGTAATACTAAGCCATCGGAATCAAATTTTCTGGTTGCGTCTATAAAATTGCACAAGTCATTCTGTAACTATTTAATCAGGACGAAAAAATGATTCTTACTTGTAGTAAAATAAACATTATTAATTGAATTCTTTCCTTGTAAGCCATTACTTCCGAAATCATTGTCATTATGTCTCACTTGTTTTAGCTAAACAGAACGAATTAAAAATAGTTTTAAATGATATAAACAGAAAAGATAAAATCTTCCGTTTACAAAAGTAAAATCTGAATTCTTCATATTGCTCGTCTTTTTATTCTTTAATATATATATATATATATATATTTGCACTTTAAAGAAAAAAGCTGTGCGATCTTGAAATAACATGGTGACTCAGAAAAGTGAAAAATTATAAAACAATTCCAATTTATTTATTTTTAACTTTAACAAAATATACAAATTATTGGAAGGGGCAAATAAAATACTACGTGATTATAAGTATATGATAATAAGTTCAATCTTAACATCTACCTACCCATTAGATGTTTTTTTGTACACCCTCAATTGTCTTTAACTAAAAGAAAATAGTTTTACAGTAAATTTAAAACAATTTTATACTAGTAAGATACTAATTACTCTATTGCAAGACTCTCTAGCGAAAACTATTAAAGCTAAATTAATGAAATTTTTCTTGGTCCAAAATTAGTGTTTTTTATTCATGTTGGTGCAAAAACGAGCAAAGTTTAATTATGATACTATTTTTGCAGTTAGGCAATATTTATAAAATAATAATTAAACCCGTATTTGTATCAGTGGTAGAACTTACTTTTTTTTTAGTCGCTGAATTCATTTTAACTATTAAAAATTAATTATAGCTGCTTTTTAAATGATGTGTTTAATAGTGTTTATATATCTATGGAAACTTAGTTTTACATATAACAAAATTTTTATTATATTTTACTGTATTGTAAAGTTGATGAAATATACATACAGAGTGATTTTTTTATCATAACCCACTCAATTACTTGCAGAATAATAATAATTTAAACATTTTTTTTTTTATTATCTTTAGTTACACATTATTCTTGAATTATTAACTATGTAATACTTTTTAAGTTCATCCCTTATGCCTTGGAAGGGGGTCAACTTTGTTCTTTTAAATGGTAACACATATTTTTAATTTAATAAAATGTTTGAGTTTTTAATTTAATAGTAAATGGCATTTGAATTTTTAATATAACTTTATTAGCTTATTAGATATAAACATTTAAAGTTTCAAAATTTTGAGTTAATATACATGTATAATACACATGGGATTGTAAATACAGGTAGCTAATTGGATTTTTATGACATTGCTGTCTCAGTCACGGATTGTTTATTATCAATTATGATTATCAATAGATATACTTTCTGTATTGTCAGTTAGTGTATTTATAAACTCATAACAATGTGCCTTACTACAATTGATAATAACAATGCTGTGTACCTGCTAATATCGATGTTATAAAAAACCAATTAGCTACCTATATTTGTAATCCCTTGTGTATTATACCTGTATATTAATTCAAAAATTTGAAACTTTAAATGATTATATCTAATAAACGAATTAAGTTATATTAAAAATTCAAATGCCATTTACTATTAAATTAAAAACTCAAACATTTTATTAAATTAAAAATATGTGTTACCATTTAAAAAAACAAAGTTGACCCCCTTCCAAGGCATAAGGGATGAACTTAAAAAGTATTACATAGTTAATAATTCAAGAATAATGTGTAACTAAAGATAATAAAAAAAAAAAATGTTTAAATTATTATTATTCTGCAAGTAATTGAGTGGGTTATGATAAAAAAATCACCCTGTATATAATTATTAAAAAAATATAATAAATTATTATTATTATTGATTGATTTATCTTAAAAGTATTTTTTCATGTGCTAGTGAACTAGTGCATTCATTAAAAATGCTTGTTTTACGACATAATTTGAAGTAATCATCCTTAATTAATTCTATAATAACAAGTTTTCTATAAAATGACAGTGACACTTACCAATTATTTTCAGAATTTACCAATTAATTAAACATCAATTGAGTTCAGTGTAGTTTATAAAAACCCATTTGTATTTAAAAATCTAGCCTATTGTGAATAAAAACTTTATTTTTATTAGAACCTGCGTCAAGGTATTTATTTATTTAGCAAACTTTTCCTATAAGCATTCGAGCTTGCCAACATTATTTATTATCAAAGAATGGCGATTATTCAAAATATAATTTACAATAAGACAATATTATTTAAATGCTACAATTACATCTAAATTAATTATGAACATATTTTAATTAAATAATTTCATCAACTAGAATATTATCTACTTTCAACAGCCGTTTCCAAAAAAATCCGTTTTCAATTTTGGAATTTTACTAAATTATAGTTGTACTTTTATTTTGTTTGCTTATATTCCCCAAAATATAATCCATTCGTGCATAACCTAATTAAAAACATAATCGGTAGTAGGAACGTACGTAGTTTTGAAGTGAGTTTCATTTATAAATAAGATATTATCTATATTGAATTCATACCATTAAAAAAATATATAAAATAAAATCAATCTGGGACATTTTTTCCCAAGTGCCATTACAGTTTGACACTGTAAAGTTATCCGGAATTATTTGTAAAGCATGAATGTATATTTTTAATTAGTACAATTTCGTTTTTTAACATTTCGTTGCGTCCATTTGGTTTTTTTCGACAATGTCAGCGAGTAGTTCGTGCATGTCGCGGATGAGCAGCATCAGTTTTCTATTGAATTTCTCAATGTTTTTCGCTTCTCGTCTCTCCGGTATACACGACTCTACGTTCTTCTTCCTCACCTTCAAGTCGACTTTGTGTCCGTTGAATTCGCATCCGATCGACGAGAACTGTTCTTCCGGTCTAGGCGTTTCGGTTTCGTCGGGTTCCGTGTACCACCTACACGTCCGTTTGCAACATTTTCTTCTCCTTTTTTTCTTGTCCCCGCAATGTTTTGATTTCACGACGACATTGGCATCTTGGCGTATCCGCAACGGCACGGACCACACGGGACCCGCGTTCCTCAACCGAACCATTACGGACACGACAGCCACCGAGCGCATGTCTTCCGCTGTCACGTCCACGTCTAGCTCGACCTCGGCAATCCCTCCAGAAGTGCCTCTCAGTACGGATTCGAATTCCGGCACGTCCACTATGGCCGTCCCGACGATCTCGGTGCTCGGCAAAGCGTCCGCACCCGACAATCGTCGCAATACGATTGTCAGGAAATCGCGGCGGTCGACCGAGTCGGTTTTCGCGGTGGTCGCAGCGAACGTGAACGTTCGTCCTTCGTGTACGGGCAACGGTTCTCGAACACAGTTGGGTCCCGGAATTTTCTCGCACAACATCTGTTCCGGATAGTCTAAGAACTGTATGCCGACAGAAACCGGCGAGTCATCGTCGTCCCGGTTTGCGTACGTTATGGTTTTTACCACCATGTCCAAAAAAAACAGTTTCTCTGACGATAGCGATGGCAAGTCGTGATCCATTGCGATGTGCCGAAGGAATTTTGGTTGTAAATATTAATCGATTTTTACTCGAAATTTGTTTTTAGACAAAATAAACAAGCGTCTCGTTGGGAACTGTACACAGTAACCTCAATGAAAGTATATTGCACTGATATCGATTACAAGTAAGATAAGAAACAATCGAATTATTTTTTTTTCAGAAAATAAATAATAAGCACAGGGTGGTTTTTATTTTAAACGTCCGTAGTTTTTAATTTTGCCTTTAATATTTCGCTTGATGAAATATATTTTTCATTATACGTAAAACTTCACTCGTAAATTAACTTGATGATTCACTTAAGCTGATGAAAAACATTCTTTGTACTTACAAAAGAGTATTTTTGTTTTAAGTTGTGTTGTACATTTCTAGGATGTTTTCTTAATCTGTCATAACTCACAAATATATATTCTATTAATATGATATTTATACACAAATTATAAATATATAATANGTCTATGATATTTATACACAAAATATAAATATATAATAATTATTGTATTACATTACAATTATTGTATTACAAATAGTAAAGTATGAAAAAATTGTAGAATCTTTTTAAACACCAAAAATTACATTATTACAATTATTATGATTTCTATTTGAGTGATCTATCACAATAAAAATGCAAAAAGCTTTTCTGATAAATTTACAATAATAATAATTATACAATTTCCTGACTCCATAGTAATCTTAAGAATACTATTTTTTTATTCTCATAAAATTTTCTATTTAATAATGTCACTTTCAAACTTGCAAATTGAGCTAAAAGTTATGGTTATAAATAATTTTTTTTTATTATAAACATTCCCAAAAAGGATCAAAAAAATAGGTTAAAAATCATATCTTTCACTGATTATTCCTAACATATTAAAAATCAAAATCTGTAATAGTTTAAAAATAATTTTTGTGTGTTTTTAATTATTTTTTATCGTAATAAATAATTTCAAAAGAAATATTAATAATTTCTATGTAACTCTTGATGTTTATATAGATGGTACAATTGAAATATTCAGAATTATTTTCTTTATAGTTAGATTCTATAGTTTTTAACTAATTAGTAATAATTTCAGACATTATTAAAGATGGAAAACATATAATTGCTGATTTGAAATTAGCATGAAAAATTGAATAATAAAAGTATATTTTTTACTCTAATGAAAATTATTTGCAGATCATTTATTCATAATAAACAACAAATTATTATCTAAAAAAATTCTGTGCGAAGCCCTTTTTAAAGGACAGATTTTAATTACTGTCAGATATCATCTATACTAGACCCAATTATGCTACGTCCTCACTGTGCCGCGACCCCATTGTGCAAGGTTTTTTTTACTTAAAACTACCATAACTTTTTGAAAAATAAATGAATTGAAACAATTTTTTTAATAGATACATTAGGTATTTACCCATAATTTATTTTTTTTTGAAAATCTGACCCTTAACATGCCCACAGAGGAGGGTTCAAAATGATAACTTATCAAAAAAAAAATTAAATTTTTCAACTTATCTTTTAATAGTGATCCAAAAATACTGACATTTTTATATATATCTTAAATAAAAATAATAATTAATTATTAGTTTGAATAGGAGCTTCACTTCCCTCTAGAAACATTCGTAGTCAACGCAATTAAACAAAATATCTATTTTAGTGGTGAAAAGGGATAAATAAAGCAATAATGTAGAAATGTTTCTACAAATTTATAAAATAGAATATGAGAACAGAAAGGATTTTTCTTACTACCTCTATGGTCTGGGAACGTTCCCCAGACTTAACATTTGATGTCCAGTTTACGACTAACTTACAATACAAACCTTCGTTGCAATACCGCCTACCTATTCTATAACAAAAGTATCTCCTGTTTTTCCCCAATATCAAACAGTCTGCTTTAAGTAACAAGAGCGTAATTCTTTTTTCTTTTTGTTGGTGCTAAAATTTGAGCTGGCCATATAATATCATAAAACAAGCCACAATCATATCTACCTTATGAAGAGAGGGTTCATAGGCAAGGGAGGACTTAGCTATTTTAAAAATATTGAACATTTGTGTTTAAAAAAATCGCAAAATCAACATAAATTTTACTGAAAAATTACATATAAAGTGAGAACAATAGAAACCAGTTTTCTTAATTTATGAACACTCTATAAATCACTGCATAAATTAACAATAGTTCGTATTTAATTGCATATACAAACTTTTTAAAATACATAATCTTAGGGTTTTTAGTGCATTAGTCTCGAACCCTTTTGTAACTGTTAACTTTAAAATTTCATACGTACATAATTAACAAATTTATTTATAAGATAATGTTCTAATTAAGAAAATTATTGATCAATAACAACTTTGGACCAGTATTTCAGAAGTTATTAACATTTTTATATTTAGGCGGCAGGATGAGTACGGAAGGAGCAGAGAAATGTGTTAAAAAATAGTAGCACCCACATCTCACCATCAGTTATTACTTTTAATTATTAGTAACTTTTAAAATATTGATCGGAGTATTTTTTGGGGGGATGCAGGAATTTCAACAGGTTTTCCCAAGGTCCTGATTGTGTTAGTTGATAAGTACTTGCCTGGCTATATTCATCCTCAAAACTAACTACAGGAAGAATAATGATGAAACATAGTTTTTAAATGAAAAAATATTAAAATATTTTTAATTACCCACTGAAAAATTGAATATAATAAAATTAATGCCAACATAACATGAAAGAAAAATGAGCAAAAAATTACAAAAATAAAAAAGAAATTATTTTCTACTTGAAAACCTCATAAAATAAATTATTTATTATTTAGTATTACCATTTATCGTTAAAAAGAAATGTATTAATTTTATTGTATTAATTATAATAAAAGATTTTTTATCTTAAAAAGATTGACCAATTCTTATGAAATATATATATAAAAGCAAATTATCAATAGTATTTAAGTTCTTTATTATATATTTCCATTCAACATAAATTAAATTAATTAAACATTTCAAAAACAGATATTTTTTTTTTATTGAAACAAAATGAACATAAAAATCAATTAAAAACTGATTGCAACTAAAAAAATTGCTTTTTCAAATCCTGTCATAAACATTATTTGCAGTTTGATTTTATAATTAAAAGCTACATAAAATAAAATAATAACTAACTTAATTAAAACAATTTTTCTTTTTTGTAATATAAAAAAAAATAACTTTTATTATTCAAATCAATGGTCGTATCTAAATTTAGATAGTATTCTTGACTATCTTTAGAATCTGGTAGTTATATTGGTCCTTTAAAATTCACATTTTCTTGATGTAAATCATAAAGTTTATGATTAGCCTCAATATTTTCCTTTATACACCTATATTGAAAAATATTTATTAATGAACATTATTTATAAATGTGTTAAATGCTTGAATGGACTGTAATCATAAAATGTCATAAACAGATTGTGACGCACTACCTTGTGAAAATATATCAAATGTCGTTATAACCTATCTGAATGATTAGCCTACGCTGGTTAATCAAGTAATACTATATGCGTTACGTCGTGTAGCTTAATCTGTGAATATTGTGCAAATACTCTTGATATTCACAAAAGTTTTCTTCTGAGATACTTTTATCTAGTCATATGACTCAAATACTCTATAGTGCTAGGAATATTCAAAAAGTAGCCGTGTTCGGTAAGTGAGGCAATTGTTGGCGTTATTAACCGAATCAAACGTGCTTTTAACACGCTAAGAACCGATAGGGTTGATACTAAGATTACAAGAAAATATTTTGGACAAAGTTTTCCCGAATTTGACTGGGTGAAAATTGCCCAAGTTATTATTGCCAGAAGCAGAAAATAGTACAATAAGGGGACCAGTGTAGTGTAGTGGAAAGCATTGAGGAATATTGAGTTGTCTAACTTCTGACGCATAAGGAGAATCGACATAGAGCGAATTTATGCTTGAAGTTGGCGGACCGAGTGACGTCACAACGATGACATCGGATGAGTTGCAATCCATGCTGTTAGTTTAAGGATGGGTATTAGAAATTTATTTAATGACGGATTTAGTGAATGTAGGATTTTTTGTGAAAAGGGCTCGTTGGAGATTTAGGACCTTGATTGCTCTTACCAGAATTACGCGAATTATCCGTGGATATTTGTGAGTTGGAAGTTTACTTTGCAAAGTGCTTCTACGACACAGTGGTGCTGATCACCTCCTTTCAAATTAGGTCTAGATACTGGGGTTCTGGATGCAATCTAGACTTTAGATTGCATCCAGAACCCCAGTGGGCACCGTAAATGTGCCGAAAAGGAGAAACTTTGGTTTCAAAACGGGTAAAAACACTGAATAAACAGTCAAACAGAATAGTACTCTAAAAATAGGCGGGTGACTTCAGACGTACACGAGCTAAACACCGATAAATCGTAGCTGTAATGTTTAATATTCTTGTAACTTTTCGAGTTAAATATTTTTTAGGTTTAAATTCATGTTTTAAAAGTATTATTAGTTTTAAATTATATTAATGATCAGTACATATTATATGTATAGAAACATTTAAGATATAAAATATAATTTTCCTTTAACCACTAATTGATGGAGATATGAAAACAATCTGTTAATATTGGGTACTAGGTTAAATTAGGTTAATAACTTTTTTTTAGAAAATATCGTATTTATAATAAAAGAACTTTACATTTTTTGTATTGTAAATAGGATACTTCATATGATAAATAAAAGAAAGCTTTCTTCAAATTTAAATATTCAACCATCTTGATGCACGTGTTAGGTTTGACCAATCGTAAAATCATTTTACATACTTTATTTTTATATGTATTAGAATAAATGTGACCTAAAGAATGTTTAAAAAAATATATGTTACCTACACTAATAATAACTCAAAAAATTTTTTATTTTCAAGTTATTAAATATTTGTTTTTGAAATTGAATATTATTAATATCAGTAACATTTTGTTATAATAAACCTTTCCATATTTTATCAGAGTAAGAAGAGCTTAAGTCCAAACCTAAATTTGCATCATATAACGTAAGTCGACATAATATACAGAAAAAAATTGAGGCATTATAAACTACCCGTATTTTAATTTAAATCTTTGTAACGATTTAAAAAGGTTACATTTTATAATTATTATTTTTCTCTAAAAATTTACATAATTAACTTATGTTAGTTTTCAGGTACAGTTTTGATTTTTAGTATAAAAACTTACGTGTACATATTATCAACGATCACTTGGTCAAAGCCCAAGTCATAATATCCATCTTTAATTGCTAGCTTATAAAACCAATCTAAAGTAGTTATATGATCATCAATATATCCAGAAAATATTTTTCTGTCCATGTCTATTGTTTTTCGAATTAATGTTTCAACTGATTTTTCATAATAACATGCTTCATAATGATTTAATGTGTCTAAGTCCTCTATAATTGTGTTTAATGAATCATTAATTAAACTTCCAATACAGTTTACTACATTCACAGCAATAGTTATAAAAGTAATATTAATACGTTTTTTTAATGTCAGATCATACAATAGCTTTATTTGAGTAACAAATATTTTATAATCTAATTCATATTGATTATATAGATGAACATTTATATTGTGTATGAAAATAGCGACATATAAAAATTTTAGAAACATTTTAGCTGATGTGCTTACTGTATGCCGCAACATCCTAGAGCAATAAATGAAATTTTTTTCATCGATATTAATATAACTGCAACATAATTCATAAAAACTGTTCAATAAATATTTAAATAGTTTCAAATATGCAGTGTATCTAACAATTATGAAATCGTTTATTATTGGTATTTTTTGAAGGAAATTATCTTCATTAATTTCCGACTTAATTTCGCTCGTATTAATATAACGATGTGTGTCATCATCGACCCTGTACTTATATGTAATATCTAACCATCCTTTCTGTTGACAAATAGTATTGAATGCATTGATAATATATTTTGTATCTATGTTTTGATTCGAACTTGAACTTGAACTACAGAAAACCATCAAACTTTTATTTAAAATCCAAAAGTTATAAAAATTTAAAATTAAGAATCGAAATAACATTTTTTTGAGATAAATAAGCAATTATTTGAAGACTAATTAATCTGTAAAATAAATTTATTATAAATAGTATAACGGTACTAAAGTAATAATAATCGATATTGTTAATCTTCCATTTTATACAATTTTAATACTGACAAATGAGTTTTGAGAGAAACACTTGATTTTTATTTTAGTATTACAATAATTATTTATGTACGNCATTGGTATTTTTTGAAGGAAATTATCTTCATTAATTTCCGACTTAATTTCGCTCGTATTAATATAACGATGTGTGTAATCATCGACCCTGTACTTATATGTAATATCTAACCATCCTTTCTGTTGACAAATAGTATTGAATGCATTGATAATATATTTTGTATCTATGTTTTGATTCGAACTTGAACTTGAACTACAGAAAACCATCAAACTTTTATTTAAAATCCAAAAGTTATAAAAATTTAAAATTAAGAATCGAAATAACATTTTTTTGAGATAAATAAGCAATTATTTGAAGACTAATTAATCTGTAAAATAAATTTATTATAAATAGTATAACGGTACTAAAGTAATAATAATCGATATTGTTAATCTTCCATTTTATACAATTTTAATACTGACAAATGAGTTTTGAGAGAAACACTTGATTTTTATTTTAGTATTACAATAATTATTTATGTACGTAAATTTACACAATTCTGTCATTCTAGAAATTTCAAGGACAAAATTTTATATTTTAAAATATGACTTAACTATTAAGACTGATTAAAAATATCAAATATAAATAAAAATCATAACTTAAGTAATTCGATTTTGCATTAAGTACTTTTTACATATTGTATGGCCTGACATAAAAAAATCCTATACATTTACTATTGAATTAAAAATCCAAACATTTTATTATATTCAAAATATGTGTTCCCATTTATAAAATTAAAGTTAACACCCTTACAAGGCATAAGGGATGAACATAAAAAGTTTTAAATAGTAAATAATTCAAGAATAATGTGTATCTAAAGAAAAAAAAAATGTTTAAATTATATTTATTCAGCAAGTAAATGAGTGGGTTATAATAAAAAAATCACTCTGTATAACATCGAAAGGTCCATGTTACTTGTTGATCTCTTAATATCACGAACATATTAGGCAGTAGAGTAAAGGAAACTAGGATAAAAATGAATAAAATTGAAGGTGAAGTAAAATAAAAAACTATAATAGTAATATTAATTAGACATTGATGAGGTCGAGCTTCCAAAAATGTTTGATACATTAAAATAATTTCCAGAAGAGAGAAATATATCGTGGTTTCTAAAATATGTCACTACTCCATTGAATTTACTATTTATAGAAAAATTATTCTTTTAGTTTTATTATATTTGCCTTAATTTTTTTTTTTTTGTTATCATTTCATATTTTATAACGATCATTAGATGTCAATGAAAAAATATATTTAAAATGACCCTAGTACAATTTTTATAAATGTTCAATTTTTATAATTAATTTTTTTTTTATCATAGCTAACAGCATCTTTGTTAGCAAAAATATTTTTTATAATAAAAGCTTTTATTTTTTTATTGTATTGCAATTTTTTTTTTTATTTAAAGAATAAAAATATTAATAATTTGTCGAATGAAATACTTATGTTTGTTAGTTATACTGAATTACAATGAAATAAACGTATTTTGTGAATTGTAAAAGAACTAAAACGCATAATATTATATGAGAAGTTAAAATTTGTCAAACTAAACGACGTTTTGTTATATTGGATCACGTATCGTTAATTTCAACTATTATAAATCATTGATAAAATAACATCACTAATGAAATCATAATTATATATATACATTGCTTATTGGTTTAGTCATAATTTTTTTATTTGTCTTCAAGAACAATACTATAAATTTTATTTCTAAAATCTATAAATCATTTATAATTTACAAATGTTAAACTTTTAACCTATTTTTAGTTAAGCTTACAAGTTTAATATTGATATCATTAAATACAAAATTTTGTGACGATTTCAAAAATGATTTTGTTTAGATTGATATGACCAGAAACTTATATACTTGCCATTAACAGTAAATTTATGAGATAAGCCCGAAATTTCGTTAAAATCACTTGTTATATTTTTTGTATTTATATCGTAATAAATCGTTTCAATAGAAATATTAATCATCTAACTTTTGGTGTTTAAACAGATGATACAATTGAAATATTCAGAACTATATTCCTTATATTTATATCCTATAGTTTTTAAATAATTAGTAATAATATCAAATATTAGTGGCAATAGAAAAGATCTAATTGCAGATTTACAATTACCACGAAATATTGAATAATAAAAGTAAATGTTTCACCACGTGCCACGACCTCCTTGTGATGGGTTTTTTTATTATAAACTTTCAAAAAAAAAATTGCCCTTTATTTTGCAGGCTGTATTAGTTTTACTTCAAGTAAATGCAATAAAATATAGAATGGATAGGTAAATTACTAAATTTAATATGTTTTAGGTTGTTTAGCAATACCGAAAAGTATTCCCAGGTCATTCAAAAAAAAAAAATTAAAAACAAATACTGGAGAATTTTTATTTAAATGTTTAATACTTTAAAGAAATATTTTCATTAACTTTTTAGTATGCCTAATTATTAAAAGCAATTTTTTAAACTTATATTAACACATGGGCTGAAAAGTCCCGGACGCTAGTATTTTAGAATTAACCTCATTTTTAGTTGGTACTGACCTACAAAAGACAGCTGTGAAAATTTCATGACAATCTGTTCATTAGTGTGTGAGCTATTGTGCTAAGAGTGAAGCTACTTTTGTAATTTTCAAAAATGGATCAAAAACAATTTCTTGTGTTAATATTACATTGCTTCTTGATGGCAAAAAATACCGTTCAAGCGAAGAAATGGCTTGAGAAGTGTTACGGGGAGTCTGCTCCATCAGATACAACAATAAAACGTTGGTATGCTGAATTCAAACGTGGTCGTAGAGACACAGATGATGCAGAACGCAGTGGACGTCCAAATGAGGCAATAACCCCAGAAAATATTGAAAAAATCCACAAAATTGTTTTGAATGATCGAAAAATGAAGTTGTGTCAGTTAGCTAATGTCATAAAGATATCAAAAGAACGTATTGGATTTATATTGCATGAGAATTTGTCCATGAAAAAGCTCTGTTCAAAGTGGGTGCCATGTTTGCTCACTGTTGAGCAAAAACAACAACTTGTTGATGATTCCAAATAGTGTTTGGTCATGTTCAAACGTAATAAACCGGAATTTTTGCGTCGATACATCACAATGGACGAAACATGGATCCATCACTTCACTCCAAAATCAAAACGATCTTCATTTGAGTGGACAGCAGCCGATGAACCTCGTCCAAAGCGCCCGAAAGCACAACAGTCAGCTGGAAAGGTAAAATGGCCTCAGTATTTTAGGATAAGCAAGGTATAATATTCACCGACTACCTTGAGAAGAGAAATACCAATAGCAGTCAATATTATATAGCGTTATTGGAGCGTTTAAAGGCCGAAATTACAAATAAACGACCGCATAGGCAAAAAAAAAAAAATTTGTTTCATCAAAACCGTGTCACAAATCAAAAAACACAATAGCAAAACTACGTGAATTAAAAATCGAATTGCTCCCTCATCCATCATATTCTCCAGATTTGGCTTCCAGCGAGTACTGGCTATTTGCAGATTAAAAAAAATGCTCACCGGTAAGAAATTTCGCTCAAAAAATGAAGAGGTTATCAGTGAAACTGAGGCCTATTTTGAGGCAAAAGATAAATCATTCTACAAGACGGTATTCAAATGTTATAGCGGTGCTGGAATGATTGTGTTGTTCTTGATGGAGATATACTGATATATTGAAGAATAAAGTCAATTTTTAATGAAAACACCGTGTTTTCTTTGTTAGGCCCGGGAATTTTCAGCCCGTGTGTTATACAGTATATTACAATTTATTTTATATTCTTTTTGTGATTTATTTTTGTATATATTATAATCAGTCACCCCAGTATACATAAATGTTGTTATAACTGTTTGATGTATCGAATTATTCAATATTTTTTTTTACATTGTACAGCTCATAACAGAATTTTAACCAATGATGAAAATCAAAAACAGTAATTATTACAAATTGTCAAGGATTATAAAAATAAGTATCCCGACAGTAAAAAATCAACTTTATTATGATTTAAAAAATTTTGAAACTAAAAATAACAATTACTATAATTTATATATTTGTATCGTCACCAATTCTTTTTCAACTGTGTATTTTTAATTTTTTTTTGGGGGGGGAGTGCTTAGCCCACACCACAGTTTTTGTCCTGAATTTGTTAATAATTAAATAATAAACGATTTTTTTATAAAATATGTATTCGTATCTCTAAAATGTTTGTTAAATATAATGTAGTATTCGTAAAAACGATAAAATATAGTATTAAGTAAATATATAAATATAAATATAAGTATAGTAAATATAAGTAAATATAGTAATGTAGTAATTTTAAAGTTTGCTCGAAAAATAATGAGTTTAAAAAAAATGTATAAGAATTAAACTTATAGTCCATAACATTGTCAACAATTTATATTCTATAATTTTTTTTTCTATGATCGCTCATATCCGAATTAAGTACAAAACACTAGAAAACTACCCCTATTGTCCAATTTTCAACCCCGAGTAGGCATGAGTTAAACTTGTCTGATTGACGTGAAATTTTTTTGGTTCGTTTTTACATGTATATAAACAAATTTTGGGGGTAAGACCAAGGAATTTCCTAAGTCGAAAAATAAGGACCATCCTAATATATACATATATATTATATATGTATATTAATTGGTTTTTCTTACACATTTTATTTATATTAATTGATTTTCTTACACATTATATATATATATGAAATGTTTGTATTACACAGTATATAATTTATAACGTTTTTATGTATATCAATTGTTTTTCTTGCGTATAACGTATATGTTAAATAACTTTTTTTTTTTTGTCATCGTTCTTGTATTGTGCAGTTTGCCGCCGCCGCCGCCTCCTCCGTCTGTGCGGCGGAAACGCCTCGACGAGGGTCCAGTGGTGGCGCGCGCCATAATCAGTGACGACGCC